CGCCCCAGTACCTCCCTTGTGCATTTAAGCTCCTCCCGTGTGCATTTGAGCGCCTCCCTTGTGCATTTAAGTGCGTCCTTTGGGCATTTAAGCGTGGCGGTTCTCCATCCTCAAGGCCAACCTGTACCGTGCTCCAAGGACCTTCTTCCCACCCGTCGAGGTCCCTGCTGCAGGCTACCCAGCGCTGCCCTGAGAGTCGCTTCTGCCACACTGGTCAACATCGGAGTGTGAATTCCAGCGCGGCTCATGGGCTTGCGTGGTGTTTAACAAACACACTTGGGATCCCAGAAAGGCAGACACAGCATATGTGGGGGTGTATGTGAGCGCACACGTGCACGTGAGTTCCCAACAGAACTCAGCACCTAGTCAGCCAGCACCTATGAATACTCTTCAAAAATATTGAATGAGGACTTAGAAGTTGAACGCTTCTATTTTCTTCTTTTCAGCCTGGTATCCAGCTGAGTCTGCACTATGAGAAGAGGAGGAATGTGTGTATGTCATGTGAGCACATGCATATGTGCTCTTGTGCAGAAGGGTGTGTGTGTGTGTGTGTGTGTGTGTGTGTGTGTGTGTGTCCCCTACTGCACGCTAAGGTTCGGAGAGGCACAGGGCAGGGAGCACAGCTTTCCCCTTGGGGAGAATAAGGCCCACACAGAGAAAGAGAGCCATCAAGCAATGCCAAGATCTGAGGGCAGCAGGGAAGCAAGCCCTGAATAGGAGCCTTGTGAGTGGTCCCGTGGGCTGACTCACCCAGACCTAGAAGAGGAAAAACACGCTGGGGATGAAGAGGGGGCTTGTATGCTGTGGTCACCAGCCCTAACCACCTACTATCCTGAGGGCACTCTGTCTGCCAGGCCGCCAACAGTCCTGAAAAGAGGGGGTTGAGGCTGGACAGGCTGGGAGAGTGGGGAGCTGGAGAACGAGGCCCATCCTGGCAGAACTGCGGTTTAGGGTGCAGGAGAGGAGGGAGGCACTGGCGGGGAGGGGTCCCCCAGGCACTGGCAGGTGTGGCCACTAATACCCCGGCTGGGTGGGGCAGTCTGTCCAGGCTTCCCTGCCACACCTGAGGAGCAGGGGTGAGGCCACTTGAGTAAGCATTTCCTAGTGCTGGGTCTATAGACGGAGCACAGGGCAAGAAGCACCCGCTTGCCACCTGCCCTGTCTGTCAAACCGGTTCAGAGACCTGAAGACCAACTGAATTTCTGTGGCAACAAGCGTGGCAGGCAGCCCCAGGCCAGCGGGCCAAGAGCAAGGTCTGGAATACAGGCCAGCCTAGGGGAATGGGGTCAAACCAGAGCACAGAGAAGCAGGAGGGAGGAGAGGGAGGAGCAGCTGGACAGCCCAGGAGGCACAGGCTCACCTCCGTGGTGGCCCAGGCGGGCTGCTTGGCTTTTCTGGGCCTCACTCCCTATCTGGAATGAGAGGCCCCCCCACCCCCAGCCTCCTGGTGGCACGGACATTTGATGACTGTGGGCAAATCTTTCTCTTTAGCAGAACCCACACTCTTATGTTCTGGGCAGACTCTCCAAAGCTTGCTGGCCATGTCTGAGATAAATGGGTTGCACTTCACTTAGATGCCAACCTCCTCGAACATATTTGTTTGGGGCCATGCCTGCAATGTTCAGGGCTTGCACCTGGTTCTGCACTCAGGGATCACTTCCTGGGGGTGCTCAGGGGACCATGTAGGAGGCTGATGACTGAACTTGGGCGGAATGCATGCTGGGAAGGTGCCCTACTCGCTGTCCTATGACTCCGATCTCTCTTCGAGTGTATTGACTGTAGTGACAGTGGAGGGAGTGTGGACACGATGGCCACATGCATGATGGTATGAAGCCCAGTTGCGTCAGTGCTCTGGGACCCCGTCAGTGCTCTGGGACCCCGTCAGTGCTCTGGGACTCCAGGCAGTTGGCTGGGTTTGGCTGAACTTCATTACCTTGTGGGTCAGGTAGGAATCACCTGGCTCTTTTAGTACTTGTTTAAGTAAAGTGACAATAGTACAATAATAAAGTAACAAAAGGAAACTAGCAGATTGAGAGCATGGAACCAAATAACTCTAAATACACTGGCCCTCCTTTGGGGTGGGGCTTGGGGCGACAGCTTAAAGGGCTGGAACACATTTGAGGGTCCCTAGATTTGATCCCTGGTATCACCGAGTCTAGCCTGGATGAGTCCCTGAACCACTGGGGAGTCCTTCCCTACATCACATCTCTCTCCCCAAAACAAAACAAAACAAAACAAAACAAGAAATCCAAGACAAAGGAAGAGTGGAGTCTGAATGGAGATCAGAGAGCAGGAAGCTTTGGGGGCGAGGAAGGTTCCTTGGGATCCCACGAGGGGCAGAGGTGGGAGGGGGAGTTGAGTTTTGGTGGGGGACTCAGGAGCACCCCTCAAAATCCTCCTGACTCAGGATGAGAGGCCTGGGCCTTCACATGTAACATCAGTCAGTTTCTGGACAGAAGATGCCCATGGCAGTTGCGACCTTGACCAAGTTGATTCCTTCCCAGCGAAGGCGAGTCTCTACAGGTGTCTGCTCCTGGCTCTGCCTGTCATGGGCCTTCTGTGCCTCTCTGCCCTCGTCTCCAAACCGACCCAACTGAGGCTTTGCGTAAACAGGGATCACCTAACTCCAGGTCCAGAACCGCTTCACTTTCCTGCTTTGCAGAGGAGACATTTTATTCCTTCTGGTCACTTCTTGTGCTACCCAAGTCCTCCAGCCAGGACCCGCACCAGTGATTCTGTATGCATTTTCCACCATACTTGAGTTACTCACTTATCTTTGTTAACTTTTTTGGTGTTAAGAGATTATTTCCCCCAACCAGACTAAGTCACACAAGGCCAGAGAATACACCTAAACTTGTATTTTCCGTAACAGCTACTTTGGTGGTTGGCTCCTTTAAATATGTGAGAAACACCTGCTGCTTGAGGGCAATTAAACATTTGTTTTTGTTCTATTTATCTGATCTGATAAAGGCTTTTGGCACAGGGTAGATCTGAAAATTCATCCTGAGATGGGGGTGCTTAAGCGAGTTGGGGTATCCTACACCATCTTGAGGGCCCTTCTTACTCGCAGCCCTCACCTGGGCTGAGGGACTCAAATCTTTCCCAACCGGGAAAGAGAGAACTGGGCTGTAAGGTTCTGGGAGACTCAGGGGGCTCCTTGCAGTCTGGAAGCCAATTGGGGTTCAACCCCATGATGCTCCCCGTGCCATGTGATCCTGGTAGCACTAGACTTCGTGACCCCCAGTGCACACCCCAGTAATGTGTCACCCTTGGCGAGCAACACAACCAAGTGTGTGCGCCCTGGGCATCGCCATCATAACATGGAGAAAGGAAGGGAGGGGAATCCTGTCCCAATTCCGAACAGACATCTGGGTCCGAGCCCCCTCATCAATACACCTGTATGCCAACACTACCCAGTTCCCAGCTGAGATGGAGAGTCATATCTCTGAAATGCATATGGCTTTGAACCCAAGTTGGCACTTTGGACTTTGAATACCACTGAGATAGGGCCAGTGCATGGCACAGGGGCTAAAGCACTCATCTATCATCTCACAGACCCTGGCTCAGTCCCTAGCACTACATATGGTCCCCCGAGCACTGTCAGGGTCACTCCTGAGCATAGACCCAGGTATAGCTCCAGACACTCCCTCTCTCCAAGACACTTCTTTTCCCCCAAGGCAAGTCAATTTGTTCAAGAGCATATGAGGAGTAAGCAGCACCATGTCTGAAAATCAGTCTGGGACCAACCACTTGCACCTGATGGCGGCCAGATGCCCCCTCCAGGACCCCTCATTTTCAGCAGGCTTCCCATAGCAACACGGGCGCAACAGTACCTAGTGTTGGGGGCAGAAAGGCTCATGAGTTTTCCAACTTGGCTTTTTATTTTTTTCTTTAGGTTTTTGGGCCACAGTGGTGGCGCTCAGGGGTTACTCCTGGCTCTGCACTCAGAAATTACTCTTGGTGGTGCTCAGGAAACCAAAAAAGGATACCGTCAATTAATCAGGGTTGCGTGAGTGCAAGGAAAGCACTTTACCCACTGTATTATCTCTCTGGCCCCTCCACTAAATTAGTTCTGCAGAAGAATGCTCATACCTGTCACCAAAAAAAAAAAAAGAACCCATTTTGAAGATAGTATTTCAAGATATGTGAGGCCCAAGTGCCAGCAGCATTCCTTAGAAAGACACACACACACACACACACACACACACACACAAATTGACATGACACTGCTGACCAGGAGGGCATGACAGGAACATCAAGAAGCCCAGTGTTTGCTGAAATGCTTATTAACTGGCTTCGCGTCTGGAAACTTTAAATCTGTAAACATACACAATGTTTGAACATCTTTTGTGCATCAAAGGATTTTCAAGTGCTTTTGTCTGGCTCCACAGCCCGTCTCTGCTGAGAGAGTAGCAGTGAGCACCCAGCTGAGAAGACGAGGGCCGGGTGAGTCATGTGTCAGATGAGAGGGCAGGACAAGCCAGGCGATGACTGGCCAGAATGCATGAGTCACGATGACTTCAGGGTCGTTGGATCCCACCAAGCCACCCATTTTCATACAGGTCTGTCTCGGGGGGTACAGTCAATGGTGCTTTCCTTTTTCTCAACAGTTGTTTAAATCATCAATTGTTTAAATATTTAAACAGGACAGACTGGACTACTGTGAAGGCTCCTTCTACCGATAAGGTTTTAAGAGAAACGAAAGTCCCAGAGCACCTTTTGGGGCCCTCACCTGCATGGGTCATTTACTTGATCATGTTCTATTTTTGTTTGGGGGGGGGCGCACCCTGCAGTGCTCAGGGATCCTGGCGATGCTCAAGGGCTCATAAGGCGTGCTGGGAATCAAACCTGCGTCAGCCATGTGCAAGGCAGGTGCCCTTCCCACTGCACTATTGCTGAAGCCTCTTGACTGGGGTTTTCAGAGCTAGAAATGGGGACACAAGCTCCTGCTCCATTCCATACAAACACACGCGACATCTTTCACGTAGGATAAATCAGACTTATTTCTCCCCACACGTGATATCATTTGTTTTAATGTACTGTTATTAGAATGGATGAGTCTTCTGCATGGTGCTTTGGGCTTTACAAATGTTAACTAGTTAATGCTTGTGTTATGTTGCACAGCATTAAGAACCTGTTAACCAGTAACATAGCTTCTGTTAACATGGGTTAATACCGCAATTGTGAATCATGGAACTTTTACTTAGCACACACACAATCTACAGCAAACTTAAATACTAATCTCTAATACTTAACTGGATTATTGGATCCATCTCAGTATTGTGCTTGTTTATCTCAGAAGATAGGCAACTAGCAAAAATACACATTTCTTTCGCATCCCCCCCCCCCCCCATATTACACGGTAAAAGAAATACATTATTCAGTGCACTTGCTAAGAAATAAACTTCCTTATAGTCTCTCTCTCTATATATATATCTATGCCCAAACAAAGGAAGAATACAATGCAACTTTTAAGATTACCGGTTACAGCAAAAGAGGTAATAACACTCACTCTGAGACTGGAATCACTTCTTGTAAAAGGTTCAGCCATTTTTTTGTTTTCCTTTGGGCCACATATGATGATGCTCAGGGCTTACTCCTGGCTCTGCACTCAGGAATAACTCCTGGCGATCCTTGGGGGACCATATGTGGTGCTGGGGATCAAACCCAGGGCAGTCACATGCAAGGAAGCGCCCTACCTGTGGTGCTATCTCTCCAGCTCCAAAGTTCAGCCACTTTATCAACATGATTCAGCTGGCTGTGTGTGGGAATCAGGGTGGTGGCATGACTGCCCTGGGTGACTCAAGATAACCTCAGCACCCTTTGGGAGATCCCTCTGGGGCACAGTAGTCCTCTATTATTATTTTTTACAACATGGACATCAATCAGCCATAAGTTGTGAAGAAACCAATACCTTATGATTAATAAGGTAATTTCCATCGCCTGCCTCTTCTCCACCAACTCATACTGGGTCAAGGCTAAAGGGCTTTTCATGAGAGCACGTCTGGCACTGCTGCTGTGTCAATGATGAGAATGTAGCTGAGGGGACCCCAACCTTTTTCATCTCTGTGGATATAAATCACTTCCCGACTGTGTCTGAGTAGGCTGAGGACAGCAGGGTTAAATGAGGGTGAAGAGGGATGCAGTATTCTAGGGACATGAGCATTTGTTCTCACCTAAAAGTTGCAAAGTCTGGAGGCTTCTGTCCTCAAGACTTCCAGTGATGGAAATGAGGCAAGTTTCTAGGCTGGAGGAGCTTGTGGCCCGGGAGCTAGATGCAGATACCTAAGTGTTTGCTTAAGCTGCAGTTTAACCAAGTTTTGAATCCGTTCTGGAGATTTCAAAATAACAACATCTCATAAACAATTTCTATGGCACAGACAGTTGAGCTGCGTGGCAGTAGCAGCTGAAGCTGACGGGGGGAGGCTCTTCTCATGGGGGCTCAAGCCTCCCGTGCGTCCCGGTTCCTGTGGCTCCTGTGGTCTCACACCACTGGCCTTGGGACAGTTTCACCAGTGGAGTTTTATGACACTGGACTGAGTTTGGCTCTGCCTTTGGCTGCTGTTGTCTGTGTTTTGTTCTGTTGTGGAAGATACCCCAGTGGTGCTCCTGGGCTACTGGTATGGTGGGGAATTGAACCTGAGGCTTCCACATGGCCAAGCAGCCCTTTGTGCTATCTGCTGCCCTTGGCTCTGCCTTTCAATGAGTCTGAAGGCCTGGTCTTATCTCAAATTTTCCCAGCTCCTTGTGATCATGATTTTCTTCTTTGAATGCATGGGTCTCAGCCACATCTGGAGGCTTTGGTTGGTAATCTTAATGTGCATTTCTATTCATCCTTTATGCTATATTGCAAACTCCAAAGGTAAAATCACACTAATATTTATGTGTTTAAGTGTGCATGTTAGACATGTAAAGGGGTGTGTATCTATACAGATATATGTATACTTCCATTTAGGCAAAAGTTAATTTGGTTCCACAGATACAGACACCAAGTGCTGGCAGCTTGTAGAGTGAAGTGTAACAATCTGGTTAAACCTGTATCATTCTGACTTACAACATTACAAAGGGAGTGACTTTAAGTTATTGCTATTTGATTACAGAATAAAGAGATCATTCTGCTGCACTTTTATACAGAATGAGCAACCATTTCCTATTCAAGTAACAGCAACTGGAATCAGAAATTCCTTTCTCAACAGTAGAAGCCTGAAGATATAGTTTGAATGGAGAGGTGATTTCATTCTACTTGAGAATGTGTGCAGGAGACGGGGAGAAACTTAATTTCTCAAGAGTACAAGCAAATCAGCACCGACTGCTTCCCGCAGGGAGCTGGGGGGATGTTTCTCAGGGTTCTGGGGTCCGTCCTGTGGTGAACTCACCCCCACCACGATGGGGGTCCCCAGCTCCGGCGGCAGTCTTGTCTGTCCTGCTCGCAGCGCTTGGATTAAAAAAGAGTCAAAGAGGACTGATTAAAAGCAGTGTTGGTTTTTAACATTCAGAATTCACAGAGGATCTCATTTTCTGCAATTTCAAGGGTCTGCTTTTGTGTTTTCGCTGCAGAATCACATTCATATGGCAGTCATTTCAGGCACTTTGAAAACATGTTCATCTGGAATAAAAATCTGCACGAACCTCTTCTGCATAAGTCAAAATCGCATCGGAGGGACTCTGGGCTTCGAGATAGAGAGCCCCGTCACCGCCTGTACTCAGTTAGCTTTCCTGGTCACGCAGGATGGTGACGGCTGAGCTGGAGGTCACTGAGGTGGCCATCAGGCTTCAGTACAGAGATATGAGTCGCAAAAATCCAAACAACCCGGATTTGACTCAAAAAAGAACATAAAAACGTAAGATACACTAACTGTATTACACAGATGGTTTGGGCGACGACCAAAATAAATAACGCGACCTCCTGCGGGGTGTGACCTGGCTCCCGGCAGGGGTCAGATGGAATGTCAGATGTGTGGCGAGGTGGGCCCTCTGGCCACTAGCTGCTGCTGGGCAAGAGGATCTCCAGGTCCTTGCCATTGGCCACCACCGCGGTGGGAGCGCAGCTGCCAGCGAGGTCCTCGGAGGTGGGCATGGCTGATGCCTGAGGGTGGGTTTTGGTCAGTGGTGCGGCAGCAGATGGAGAAGGGGTGAGGCCCGGTTTCTTGGGTGGGATAGGGGGAGGGTTGCCTCTCTCAGCCCTGGGGATGGTAGGAGACTTGATCCCTGGAGACAGGGGGCTCAGAGGACTGGACACTTTCCCGGGGGTGGGAGAATGGCTGGTGTCACTCCTGGGGCTGGCTGAGGCAGCCAGGTTCCGATAGTCTGTACCGAAGGGGGAGCTGTTGGGAGAAACGGGCTTGATGGGGCCCTGCTGGCTGGTGAATCTGGAGAGCACCTGAGTGACTGTGTTACGCGCCTGCTGCTTGGCGGCCGAGTTATCCAGGAGGGTGGGGGACAGGTCTCGGGATGGGGGGCTCTGGAGGCCGCTGGCTTGCTGGTCCTGGTCCGCTTGGGACTGGAATTTGTACCGCGCTGCGTGGAATCGCTGGTTGATGCCCACTTGGTAGGAGGACTGGTAGCCGGGGCTGCTCCCTGCTGAGCCCAGGAGACGCTTGGTCAGCACAGGGGACGAGCATGGGGAGGAGGTGAGAGAGGAGGAGGCCGTGCTGCTGGGGGACAGGGAGCTCCCACTGGACGGCAGGTGGGCGGGCGCAGGGCCTGAGGAGTCTCCCACCCCGTTCTCCACAGCTCTTTCCTGGGCTCCCCCGGAGCGCTCTCGGGAAGGCACCGAGCTCTCCCCACCGCTCCCGGCCGTCGGCTCCCTGGAGGACTGGAGCTCCGGGTCCAGGTGGCCGTTGGCTTTTGCGTAAGAGTAGGTGGGGGTGGTGGGCACCGGGGTGGCCGCCTTGGGGACCCCGCTGCCGGGCGTCCTTTCCACCTGGGCGCCGTCCGTCTGGCAGCACACAGACACGAGGACACGAGGCTCCGTGGCTGTGCCTTTCGCGACGGCCCCGGGTTTCCTGGAGGGTGCCTGGGCACTGCTGTGCTGGCGGGAAGCCTCCAGCTCCTTCACCAGCTTTTTCAGACTCTCCATCTCTTCCTTCAGGGTTCTGGTGCGGTTCTCCTCTCGGTTCAGCTTTGCTCTCAGCTGCTCCCGTTCGATGTCAAACTCAGACAGCTGCTTCTCCACCTGGGCCTCGGTCTGCAGGCCCCGCTTGCGCTCGGCCGCCAGCTCCTCTTCCAGCTTGCTCACACGGCTCTTCTCCTTCTCCAGCTTCAGGCTCAGCTCCCCGGCCTTCTGGCCTTCCTCGGCCGCCTTGCTCGTGGCTTTCTTGCACTCGAGCACCAGCATGGCTGAGAGCTGCTTGTGGCGGGCGCGTTCCTCTTCCAGCTGGCCCGACAGCTTCTTCTGCTCCTTCTCAAACTTCTTCACCTGGGACTTCTCAAACTCCAGCTAGGACCAAAAACAACCACCGCGTATCCTGATTAGAGTAAGAAAACAAAGCGGCAGACCGGAAAACTCTAGTAAAGTCCCAGCTGGCTTGCCTGGTGTGTGGGAGTGCCACAGAAGTTGTGTTTAGGGCAAGTATTGTTTTTGTTTTATTTGGGGCCACACCTGGTACTGCTCAGGACTTAGGGGACCATCTGGGGTGCTGGGATTGAAACTGCACTGACCCGCTGTACAATCTCTCTGGCCTAGGGGGAAATATTTCTGATGTGTTAGAGCACCTAACAAAAAACTGTATGCACTGTGATCTAACCTTTCCTCGATGATTGAGGTGATTCCTAAATCACAGGTTTTAGACCTGTGGGAAGCACCAGGATCAGTATTGATCAAGAGAAGAGAAAGCTACGTGCACCAGATCTCATGAGTCTGTTCACTGAGGCGTGTGTATGTGTGTGAGTGTGTGTGTGTACGTTTGTGACCTAAAGTATTCTAATTGGGCATTATACGCAAAGAAAACTTTGAGAACTTGAAGTGAGTATTCCTCAAAATACACCGGCAAGGAATCTCTGTCTAAAATCGATTTTATAGGGCCGGAGAGATAGTACAGCAGGTAGGGCTCTTGCCCTGCACCTGGCCAAGCTGGGTTTGATCCCCAGCATCCCATATGATCCCCTTACCACTGCTGGGAGTAATTCCTGAGCATCACCAATGTGTCCATCACTGGCTACCTCCCTCCAACCACCCCCCCCCCCCAAAAAAAAAGATTTTATAGAAAACACTGATTTGCTAAACACAAAATATCCTATTTGGTTTTGCTTTGGGGCCACCGCTGGCTGGTGCTCAGGGATCACTCTTGTGGAACTTAGGGGACCATGTTGGGTACAAAGGATTGAACCTGGGTTGGCTGTGTGCAAGGCAAGCACCTTACCCACTATCATGTCTTTCTATTGCTACTAGTTTTTAAAGAGTCACACTGTGCTTTGGCATTCTAAAGGATCTAACAAACTGGAGTGAGACATCTGATAAATTTCATTTTATTCAATTATTCCCAAATTTACTTAAAGTCTGTTTTTGAAGCCAAGTAAATTCACACCCTCCAGAGCCATCTCTAAGAAACGGTATTCTAGACACAGCCAGGTACCTGCTGAGTTAGTCGCTCTCGCTCCTTCTCCAGCATGTAGGTGACATCGTCCCCTTCTGCAGTGTCCTGGGCATGCCTCTGCCTTTCTTCCTCCAGGTCGAGGATTACCTTAAGTGGGTTTCAAGGGAAAGAGTCATTTCTGGGCTGGAAATAGAGTATAGCAGACAAGGCACTTGCCTTGCGACTAGGGTTCAGTCCGACACTCTGCATGGTCCCTGAGCCCTGTCAGGTGTAATCCCTGAGAGCAGAGCCAGTAATAAGCCCTGGGCACTGCCCTGCAGTATGGCCCAAATACCAAAACATGCATGCGCACACACACACACACACACACACACACACACACACACACACACACAGTCATTTCCACATATCAAGAAATAAAACTTAGATGACAGGTGCATATTTAAACACTAAAGTCAGTTCCAGAAATAACTGAACAAAAATAATGAAGTAGACAGCGAGACAGATAAGCAGTAGGTGGCCATAAGGAACTCCTGTCTCACAGGGTACAAGGTATACCAGCTACACGTCCAGAAAGAACCAGACCTTGGCTTTCCCTCAGGCACAGAAGGATCTAGAAATAGAGACCAGAAAGCAGCAGCCCAGCTGCAGGGTTGGGAAAGGGCTTAGAGAGTCACTAGAGGAGCAAGGAAATGCAGGTGTTCGGTGTGTCTAGGGGACAGGCTCCTGCCATGCTCCATCCCCACAGAGGCAGGCGCCTGAAATGAAATGTTTCAAAAAAGCGACAAGCTAGCCACTCTGTGTGCAATCAGGACACACATTCATTTTTGTTTGTTTGGGATTTGGGACATATCCGGCTGTGCTCAGGGCTTATTCCTGGCTCTGTACTCAGGAATGACTCCTGGCAGTGGTGCTTGGGGAACCCTATGGGATGCTGGGAATCAAACCCAGGTTGGCTGTGCGCAAGGCAAGCACCCTACCTGCTGTGCTATGGCGCCAGCCTCTTAGCACGTGCATTCTGAATACAGTTAGAGAAGAATGAAGCTTTCTGGAGGAGCAGGAGAGAGAGCAGGGAGCTGGTCCTGCACATGGCTGACCCTCTCATTCCCCGGCATTGCATATGGTAATCCAAGCACAATACCAGCTCTCCCTTGCAGTCTCTTCACTTCATCCTGCATGTAACAAGGCTCAATGATTAGAATAATGATTAACATAAGTGCAGATTTTTCACAAGCCCTTTTAACTGACCTCGCTTTATCCCAGTACCCCATTTCATTATGCTGGGAAGATTAAGTCCAATTTTAAGATGAATGCAACTTTAAAAGGTGCCTTTTACATACCACCCACCTAAGGCCCTCCCGTTGTTCATCGATTTGCTCGAGCGGGCCCAGTAATGTCTCCATTGGAGACTTTGTTGTTACTGTGTTTGGCATATCGAATATGTCACGGGGAGCTTGCCAGGCTCTGCCATGCGGGCGAGATACTCTCGGTAGCTTGCCGGGCTCTCCGAGAGGGGCGGAGGAATCGAACTCGGGTCGGCCATGTTGGTTGCATGCAAGGCAAACGCCCTACCGCTTTGCTATCGCTCCAACCCACCTAAAAGCTATTCTAATATTCTAAATAGCACTGGGTTCCTTTTTGTTTTCTCTTTTCAGTTTGGTGTTTGGATCACACCTGGTGGTGCTCTGGTGCTCTTTCTGGTTCTGTGCTCAGGGATCACTCCTGGCAGAGCTCGGGTGACAACGTGGTGCCAGAGATTGAACCTGGGCCTCCTGCATGCAAGGCGCGTGCCTTGGGCTTTGAGCTCTCTCCAGCCCTGGCATAAGCATTCCTTAGTTTCTCTTTGTTTTTGTTTGTTTTGGGGCCACACCTGGCAACACTCAGGGCTTACTCCTGGCTTGAGCTCAGGGATCACTCTGGCAGGGCTTAGGGGACCATATAAGATGCCAGGGACGGAATCCATATCAGCCATGTGCGGGACATGCAACTTACCCACTGTGCTATCTCTCTGGCCCTCAGAGCTTCTCCTGATGCTGCAAAGGTGCCACGGCCTAGAGCCACAGGCAGAGCCCCTATCACCCGAGTGTCATTGCTCATTTCGCCTCACTACTGTTATGAATGGAGAGAAAACATTTCATGGGAAATGAAATTCATCTTAACCACCCAAATAAAAAACATTTACGGGGCTTGAAAGATAGTACAGCAGGTAAAGCGTGTGCCTTACGGCCAACCTGGGTTTGTCCCCAGCATCCCATATGGTCCCCCGAGCCCGCCAGGAGTGATCCCTGAGTGCAGAGCCAGAAATTAGCCTCGAATATCACCCAAAACCAAAAACAGACAGAATGTTTTTAAGTATTTCTAATTTTTTAGAAAATAATTTTTTAATGAGAGAGATGGAAAGAGACAGAGATAGAGAGACACAGACAGAGAGACAGAGAGAGCACAAGATATTAGCAGCTAGTATCTCATGCCCAGGCACGATGTTCCTCCTCTGAGAAACAGGATGGGAAGCAGCTTAGGGAATAGCAGGCATGGTAGAGAGGGGTGGAAAAAGGGAGACAGATTTGTTTTGGGGAATTTGTAGGGTATAAAGGGAGGTAGAATATAAGGTTTACATTTGCATCTATAATAAAAGCAAATGTCTAAACCTGATGAATGAGAACACTGCATTATGAAGTCAGCTGTTACAAGGGAAAGACAGACAATCGGGGAGGAGTGTCCGGTGATCACTGCAGAAACTTATGCCAGTTCACTGTACTGCATCAAGGCAGGGTCAGGATGTGGCAAAAACCAAAGCAAACAGAAAGGAAAAAGAAGAAGGACTGGAAGCACTAATATTTCAATGAAACAAGCGTGCGTGGGGTAGAACAATCTGAGGGGGCTGTTTATGGTATCTGAGAGTACAGGGGTTATCCCACCAGGAGCAGTCCACAAGCAATACTGTGTATAGCCCAATCCCCTGCCTCCCAACCCCCCCCCAAAAAAAAGGTTACCTATTGCAACAAATGGTTGACAAAAAAGTAGTTTTCCCAGATCCCTCAGGGAGAAGGACTGGGAAGAAGCAGATTAGGGAACTTCACTTTTTTTGTAATCAGCAGAGTAACCATGTAATTCACCACTTAATCCACAGCACTTCTGAATCAAAGGGGGTACTATTAATCGCATGCCAAGGTGAGAGGCAGGAACTAGGGCTCTCTCAGGCAAACCGGGGACAGGGCACCCTAATTAGAGGCTTCAGGTACTATCTGAGTTCTAACAAAGTCAGGGTTCCATTCAGATATAAGCACAAAAATCTGTAGGGCTGTCTTGAGACTGTAATGCTTAAGGAATGTTGCAATAATGTTGTGGGAGCTGCAGCTAGAGCTTAGATGTCATAGTGCATCTTTCATATGTGTGAAGCTTGGCTGTGAAACACCCACCCCCCCCCCCCCCCCCCAACCAAAATAAGTATGTACTGGGAAACTGGGAGTTATTTTCAGTTTCCACTCCCAACTATCTGGAGCCATGTATTATCTCAACACCACCCCTCTCAGGAGTCAGCCTGCAACTCTGCACCATTCCATCCCACCATGTGGAAAGAAGGGGGAAGCTGCTTACTATATATGAGGTTGTGAAGATGTTCTTGGAGAATTAAGTAAAAGTTCCCCCAATTTTAGGTAACTAATGACAATTGATAAGACACCTTTTAAATAAGGGCAGAAATATTTTCAGATAGCTTCTTTCCAGATTTGATGGTGAGCTTTTCTGGGTATTGGACAATTTTGAGAATTCAAGTAAAGATTGGGGAAAAAAATGTTTTCCACAGAAAGATCAACTTCTGGCATTCTATATATTTTCTGGAGGAATCAGGGACATATGAGACTCATCCATGGTTAAAACCGCCATTCTGTCCTTTCATTAGGAATTTGTGAAGGGGAAGAAAAATCAAGGACAAGATCTAAGTTTTAGCAAATTTGTCAGAAGCATTTTAAGCAGATGGTTCTCTAATGCAGGTACACATAAAAGTAAATGAGGACCCCAAAATCTGCAGAGCTACCCCAGTTTTTCAGGATAAAATGGTTCTCACTGATGTGCAAAGGTATTTAAACTCTGTAGGTATAAATCTAAACTGATAGTTTAACAAATGAAAAAAGAAGATTATAGTCTGCGTTATAGGCTAAAGATGAGAAGTAAATGGCAGACCATAGAATAAAACCACAAGCACTAATATTCCAATGAAATACATGTGTGCACACACGCATATGCACATACATACACACAGACATCTTACAATCTGGGGGAATATTTATGGGGGTTTTTTTTGGTTTGTTTGGCCACACCCTGCAATGCTCATGGCTTACTCCTGGCTCTGAACTCAGGAATTACTCCTGGTGGGCTTGGGGAAATATATGAGATGCCAGGTCAACAGAACCTGCATTGATCATATTCAAGGCATGTGCCTTACCCACTGCACTATCACTCTGGTGCCTACTTATGATTTTTGAGAAGTAGGCCATGGAAATCAAAGGCACTAATATTTCAATGAAACAAGCGTGCATGGGGTAGAACAATCTGAGGGGGCTGTTTATGGTATCTGAGAAGGCAAAATACACTGAAACTCAAACCTAGGAGTAAATGAAAATAATCTGTTGGTTGAATATTCACAGTCAGGTAAATTCTGTTTTACTGGGACTGGCATTCCCTTAAAATACCTTTTAATCTTTCTATTTATCACATCAATAAGCAAATAGAGAGGTCTCTGTTCAGCCATGAGGTTGATCAAACCTCACTTTATTGCCAGAGTCCGGATGATCAAGAGCCTGGAAAAACATACCAAGCGCTTTAGAGTGTCAGAGTGAAAGGAATGCCGTCTGCCACCCCGCTCTGGCACACACGCCCTCAATCTATCACTGGGGACAACTTATATGTTCTTTCCTGTCTCAGGGAAAGGCTTTCTGACCCCTGTGAGACTTCTCAGTTGGCCAGTTGTGGAGGCCAGCAGCTGACCACAAAGTTCAGGCATTCCCAATGAGTCTTCCCAACCTTTGTGCGTACCTTGCGGTGCCGGCTCTCGGCGGCGGCCAGCTGGGACAGCATGCGCTCCTGCATGTTCTTGCACTGCTTCATCACTGCCTTCAGAACCGAGAGGGGGTTTGTGCACACTGGCTGCTTCTCCCCGTCATTCTGCTCCTTCAGAGTCTCAAAGTCTCTCTGGAGAGCCATTAAGGGATCACTGATGTTGTACTTGCCATAGCGCTCTTCAATGAAAGTGTCCCGGTGCTGGGCCTGCCAGGGAGGAAACACAGGCATTTTGCTTTGGAAACTAGTACACCCAGGGGGCCTGGCAGGTCCTTGGGCATGAAGAGTGTGGTTTCCACAATGGGCCCTGCTGGCTCTGCATGACACCGAGTCATCAAGATGGAGAAAAGCAGATCAGAGGGCCAGGGCTCAGGCGTGAGACCGAGCCTGACCTGACAGTGCAGGAACATCCCAAGCCCCAAGCAGTACTGGGGTGAGACCTCAGCACTCCCGGTCTGAGCAGCACTGCACTCCTGATTTCATCAGGCTGGCATTGTGGGGAGAGGCACTGGGGGGGTCCTCTGAGCACTCCCCCAAAACCTCACATCAAAAAAATATCAGAGAACATAACAGTACAGAGAGCAAATACTTAGACGGAATATATGACTGTGTAGTAGGCACTGTTCTAGCATTCTGTTCATATTATTTTATTTGAATTTTACAACTTTGATAGGGCAGTGCTATTATCTCCATTTTAAGGATGATAAAACCTTTGCACAAAGGTCAAGTGACTTGTTGCAGATTCCACATTGAGCTGTCACACAGGGACTAAAACTCAGTAAGCCTGGCTCTAAATCCCTAGGCACTGTGACTGCTGCCTCTGCTTCAAAAACCTTGATTAGCAACACGTGCATCTATGGGGTGGGGGTGAGGGGGTTTGGGGCCACACCCTGGGGTGCTCACAGATTTGAAAGTGGTGCTGAGGACTGAACTGGAGTCAGCAGCAAGCAAGAAGTGTATCTTTCTTTTGTTCTTGTTTTGGGGCCACACCAGGTGGTACTGGGGCTGCATCCAGCTCTACAGTTGGGGAGCACTCCGACTGGTGCTCAGGCAGCCAGGCAGTCTGGGGTCAAAGCCAGTTTGGAGTGCAGAGTGCACCCCCCTGTCCTTTGCTGTGCTCCCAGCTGCAATGCTTGAAGCTTATCTTCTCTTTCTGTTGCCTTCAAATTTGTAAAATATGGTTAGCATGAAAATTCTGAGTTTCGTATTTGAAGAACCTAAAATAAAGTGGCCACAATAAGCAAAGAATACTGAAAGGAAAGTAAAGTATTTCATTACCTTGAACTCCTTGTGATTTGAATAGACAATACTCCACTAGGGGCTCAAGTCAAGCACCAAGAGTCAACAATAGCGAGAGGTGTAAAGAAAATCCTTCCTGGGCTGGAGAGCTAGTACAGTGGGTAGGGTACTTTCCTTGCATGTAGGCCTACCTGGGTTGGATCATCACTACCCCAAATGGTCCCTCGAACACCATCAGGAGTAACCCTAAGTACAGAGCCAGGAGAAAGCCCCAAGCAACACCAGTGTGTCCCCAAAGCAAAAAAAAAAAAAAAAAAAAAAAAAAAGAAGAAGAAAGGAAAATCCTTCCTATGTGCTATCAAGTTCACTCTCCTCATCTCATCTCTGCTCAGCTACTTGCTGCCATCTTGCTTTCTCTCTGCTTCAGGGAGCTTTGGGATGAACAAGAAGATTAGCAGGTTATGTGGGCTGGTGTGTGGTACCTGGTCTTGGACTTTTAGGCCCAGTGTCAAGTTGGGTCTATGGGTAAGAAAGAGAAGAGGAAGATATTCTTAGGCTTTTTTTCCTTTTTGGGCCACATCTAGTGGTGCTCAAGGTTTATTCCAGGCTCTGCTCTCAGGAATCACTCCTGGCAGGGTTCAGGGGACATTATGATGTGCTGGGGATCAAACCCGCACTATCACATGCAAGGCTTACCCGCTTTCTGGCCCTGATTCTTAAGCTTCTTCTGTAGTAGGAAGCACTTGGGAGTTCTCCTTCATATGACAATCATGTATGACATGCAGGTGAATGGGGTGATACTCACAGAGCATTTACTACACAGTCATTAAAGTGTTTCCAAGACCAGATGCCATAGTATCGGGGTTAAGGCACTTGCCTCGTCTGCTACCAGCCTCCTTTCCATCCCTGGCACCTCAGGGAGCAATGTGCTGAGCACAGATCCAGGAGGAACCCCCAGACACCATCAAGTTAGGTCCCCAAACAAAACACAGAAGTTTCCTGAGACATTTTGCAAAAAAAAAAAAAAAGCATGAGCCCAGTTCTGAGTAATCTTTCATAAAACCACAGCAAAGTACTATATAATTTAAGGATTCAAAAGAAATCTAGTTATGGAAACAACCCCCCATTTATCAATTTAAAAAAATTACTTCATTAGAAGCTATGTTTCTTACCACCACATCTTCAACTGTAACCCTACTTGAAAAGAAAGTTAAATTCACAATTCAATGGCTATGGTTAAAACAAAAGCCCTCAAGGAAATAAAAAAAAAACATGTATTTTTTCTAACATGAAAGTCTGTCTCAGTGCTGAGCAAATGATGCCTTCCTCATGAGGTTGTCTAAGTTCAAGACCCTGAAACCCTACGCTACAAGTTTTTGTTGGTGTGTCATCTTGTAAATATTCAAAGCAAAGTTAGAAATCCTGGGTTTTACTTCCGGCTCGATTACAACCATTATAAGTGATGACATTATTGGAGAACTTGGGTAACATTTTTAGGTGGGAAGATGAAAACTGAAACGGTTCCCTTTAAGTTACTGATAACCATCTTCCTAATCTTCTTACAGGAATGTGTGTGCATGAGTGAGCATGTGAATTAAAGGGGGAGGAACTTGAAAGAGTAAGACAAAAATCTTAGTTTTCCACTCCAAACTTAAAAAAAAAAAAAGGAAATTCTTGAGCTGGAGAGATAGGTCAATGAACTGGAACGTGTGCTCTGCATTTAGGAGGCCTGGGTTCAATCCTTGGCACCCGAGGTTCCCTGAGCACCCCTGATAGTGACCCACCAAACAGAGCCAGGAACAGCTCCCAAATCTTGGGGTGTGGCCCCCAAGAAAACCAGAAAATAACATTTTCAGTAAAATTTAAAAATGATCTTAGGATGTCACTGTCACTGTCCTCCCATTGTTCATCGATGTGCTCGAGCAGGCGCAGTAACGTCTCCATTTTGAGACTTGTTGTTACTGTGTTTGGCATATTGAATACATCATGGGTAGCTTGCCAGGCTTTGCCATGCGGATGAAGAAAAAAAACCCACCTCAGTTGATTGTTTTTATTATTTTTTCAAATAATGGTAAGATAAAAGAAACCAGGTACTAGTTTTAAAAGCAGCAGTTTTGGGACTGGGATGATAGTACAGTGAGTAATGAGCTTGCATTGCAAATGGCCACCCTGGGTTCTATCCCCGCCACCCCACGGGTTCCAGGAGAGATCCCAGAGCACAGAACCAGGAGAGAGTCCTGCATACTGGGGACTGAATCTGGGCTGGCTGCATGCAAGGCAAACACCTTACCCGCTGTACTATTGGTCCGTCCATGAACCCAAGTATTTTGATCACCATTTCTTTCAGATCACCGTGATGAAAGTGACTGTCAAAGCAGGAGCGTGGAATGCAATTTATAACACTGACATTAGATCTGCTGAGTTATCACTCAGGTTTGAGTATAGGATTAACTAATCCTTAAAAATATGACTTAAAAATCCGTACTATGATTAGTCTATATAATTAATATGCACCACAGAGCTAACATGTAATGCTGAGGAGCATCTCTGGTGAGGTTTCAGCCCTTTCTGAGGACGGTGGTTAAGATGTCTGTTTTCTCTTGGAGCACTTCTCAGTAATCCCATAATCACTCGCAGGGTAATTACAAGTCAGACAAAATTGGTGGCTTTGCAGATAAATGAAAAGAATCTGTGGAATAATTAAAAGAAGGCTCCTTGCCACAAAATAATTCTTCTAAGTACATTCTAATAGAGGACTCAAACAGGGGGCAAGCACATTCTGTAATTTATCACACCAAACCCTGGCTTGGAACATGCCAGACAGGAGAGTGGATTGAACCAATTTAATAGCTCAGTCAAGGTGAACCATATGGATGACAGGTCTTAAAGTGCAAGTAACTATACCTGAAACAGACTTGAAGTCTGAATGAGAGAGGGCTCAAATGGAGGTATATACCAGTGATCTATTCCCACGTGACAAATTATCCCCAAACATTGCAACTGAAGCAGTCACCATTTTTCTATCTCACAGTGTCTGAGGGTTAGGAATCTGGAGGGCCTTGGCTAGGGAGGAGGGGAATGTCTGACTCTAGTTAAGCCGTAGGCTAGGGCTGGGTCATCTGAAGGGAGCCCCCTCACAGAGCTCGGGGTCTGGGATATGGCTCAATGTGATGCAGCACAAGTTTCACATCCTTGAGGCCTCAAGTTTCATCTCTGACTCTGCCCCTACTATAGGGTGTCACCAGGTGCTCTGGCTTCCCTTTCCCTACTCTCGGGAGGGACTTCTCAGCCAAGAGCAGCTCTGGACTCCCAAGGCACCAGCAAGTATGGGTACTGTTTATTTAATTTGTAAGGGCCTTACCAGGCTGTGCTTGGGGGGCCGGGGTTGGCTGCATGCGAAGTTAGGGTCTTAGTGGCTATACCAGCTCTCCAGCCCCATTAAAAAAAAAAACAACCAAAAAAATAAAAAACACACAAAAATGCAAAATGAGCTGCAGCAATAGTACACTGGGAAGACATCCCCCCCCCCCCTTTAAAAAAAATTTATTGAATCACCATGAGAAAGTTACAAGCTTTCATGTTTGGGTTACAATCACATAATGATCATACACCCATTCCTCCACCAGTGCCCATTCCCCACCACCAATCTCCCCAGTATACCCCCCTTTCCCCACCCTCCCCCTGTCGCCATGGCAGACAATATTCCCCATACTCTCTCTCTACTTTTCGGAATTATGGTTTGCAGTACAGACACTGAGAGGTCATCATGTTTGGTCCATTATCTACTTTCGGCACACATCTCAAAGGAAGGAAGGCATTTCCCTTGCATGTGCCAACCTGGGTTCAAATCCCAGCCTTGCTATGGTACCCCAAGCACTGCCAGGAGTAATTCCTCTGTAACCCCTGAGCACTGCCACGTGTGGCCCAAAATCAAAGAAAAACAAAACAAAACAAAACCAACCAACCCC